CCTTCCTTCCTTCCTTCCTTCCTTCCTTCCTTCCTTCCTTCCTTCCTTCCTTCCTCATAATCCATCCTGATGGTTTAAGAGAATCTCTGTCCCCTGGAGCCGCTTCCTCAAAATATCTGGTATTGCAGGGCTAAAGTGAAGGAAGGGGCTGTTGTCTTTATTCTGAATCTGGGGTTCCTGCAAACCAGTGTTTCTCCAAGTGTGGTCTTAGGGCCCCTGGGGCTCCCCCAAGACCCTCTCAGGGGTCCTCAGAATCATCTGCTAGCCTAGGTTGTAAAATAATACAATATTAAAATCCATCAAACCATTGCAAGAAGCAGGAGCAGCAGTGCAGCCGTCAATTTTAATTTTTAAATGTTGATCGATATAACCCCTACGGACCAAGGCTCTTTTGGGGTCCTCCATAATTTTTAAAAGTGGGAAGGGGTCCTGAGAGAAGAAAGTTTAAGAACTAAGGCTGGTTGGGAGGCCTCTCAGAGCTCTTGCCCAGGTGGTCTTCATCCAGTTGGTCCTCAAAAGACTGTTGGAAGAAATGAAGCCCCCCACATTTCATGCTAACCTAATATGCCCCAGGAGTGAGTCTGTGAGCGTCTAGGGCAGGAGGCGCTGTGCGTACTGTGTCTCTAGACCCTGCTCTGTCTTCTTCTCTCTCTGAACATCCTTCAATAGCCGCCAAGCGGGCAGTGTGGCTGGAGAAAGAAGAGAAGGCCCGCGTGTTGCGGGAAAAGCAGCTGGAAGAGAGGCGGCGGCGGCTTGAAGAGCAGCGGGTGCGAGCAGAGAAGCGGCGAGCTGCCCTGGAGGAGCGTCAGCGTCAAAAGCTGGAGAGGAACAAGGTCGGTTTGGGAGTCTCCCGGGGGGTCAAAGGGGAACCGAGCTGCCGTCCGCAAGACGAGCTGCAGGTCCCCAACGTTGCCTTGCTCGGAGGCTGTGTTGGCCCGAAAGAAACAGATGCAGAGGCACCTCTTTGCATCCCCTATGTCTTTCCCATTTTTATTAGGAATTCTTAATGGAATAAAATATACAAGAACAAAGATAGAAAGAAAGCAAGAACAGAGATAGAAAAATAAGAGATAGGGAAACAAGAAAGAAATTGGGGCGGGGGGAGCCATGCAGTTGTGCCTTCTGCCCTTATTTCTGTCAAGCAACTGTAATCTTAAATTTTTCCCCAACCTCTTCATCTCGTTTTTAATCCCCAAATCCTGTAATCATCCATTCATTTTTTTCTTCTGTCAGCAGAAAGTGCCTGTAAGGGTTCCAGGCTTTTAAAAAAGCCTTTATTGCTTTTTCTCTGACCAAATTGGTCAGCTTCGCTGTTTCTGCCAGTGTATCCACTGCGTCTTTCCTGACGCTGCCCCACATTGTATGACTGGGGCAGCAGGCAAACACAGAGAACTAAACCTCCCTTTTCCCCCCTTCGCAATCAGGAGCTCTACGAAGCCGCCATCCAGCGCTCAACGAAGAAAACCTGGGCTGAGATCCGGCAGCAGCGATGGTCGTGGGCCGGGGCGTTGCACCAGGGCTCCCCTATTCACAAGGAGGGTGAGTGGAGGCCCTGCTCGGCCCCTGGGGACACGGCCGACATGTTCCTGGGGGGAGCAGCAACACGACTGAGAGCAGGCAGCACAACGGGCCTGGGGGGTTTGATGCTTTTGCACGGCTGGGCAGTTTTGCACGCGCATGTACCTGGATGAGGAGGGGTCTCTGCACCCTAGTTTATAGTTGGAAATTATAAAGCTCCTTCCTTCCTTCCTTCCTTCCTTCCTTCCTTCCTTCCTTCCTTCCTTCCTTCCTTCCTTCCTTCCTTCTCCTCTCTGCATGCAGGACAACAGGGCTTTTCTTCGTAGCTTCACTGGGGCATGTTGTCCATTCTCAGTGGACCTTTGACCACTTGGTATTTTTCAGTTCCCACGCTGCTCCTTGCGCTTACACATCTCTCTCCTCATCTGCTGGCAGTTTCCACAATGCGGGCACATTGGGACCAAGGTAGAGAGGAGGGGAGCCTTAGATGGGGCTTGCCCACGCCTGCACCGCTGAGCCGAGCACATTATTCACCCTGGAATCTCCCCACCCCAGGAGACTTTGGGCAGGAATGGACTGGAGAGCGGGAAAGTGGAGAATGAGTGTGGGAGGTGCCCCACTGCACGAACGCTGCAGGGATGATGATACCAAGTGGGCATGGCTGTGCGTGTGTATGTGTCTGTGAATGGGGCCAGGATTTCCTCTTTGGGTTGGGACAGGAAGCGTTTTAGGGGGTGATTCTGGCGGCTGCCCTAAGGCAGTGTTTCTCAGTCTCAGCAACTTTAAGATGTGTGGACTTGAACTCCCAGAATTCCCCAAGCCATCATGCTGCCCCGGTGGAGTGTTTTCTAAGGTCACAAGCTCTCATGGTTGGAGAGAGAGACGTGCAAGGCAGAATGCAGGATGAGAAAGTAGAAATGCTCTGGAAGAGCTTCAGACAGACAAGTAACAGAAGAACAGACATAACTGATTCAAGAGCAACTTCCTGGTCACCGGTAGCGATTAATAATTCTCCGTAGGCAACCAGACTATTGTTATTACTTACAAACCTGTGGTGCTCTTGCTTTGACCTTAAATGTCTGAACTGACTGGAAATTGCTGCTGCTGCTAATAATAGTAGTAGCAGTAGTAGTAGTAGTAAACTTTTCAGATGTTGAAAGCACTTCATATATACTTTCAAAATCCCTGTGAGGAAGGTCTATTGATCATTATATGAACAGTTGGAAGCTATATATCTTGTTGGGAAGTGAATGGTGAACTCAATGGGCTTTTGATCTTATCCAGTACAGGTCATCCTTGTTTAGTGACCACAAGTGGGACCAGCAACTTGGTCGTTAAACAAAGCAGTTGCTAAGTGAAATATCATGATTTTACAATCTTCCTTCAACTTTCCTTTGCTTTAAAGACCTATGGAGGTTGTAAATGCAAGGATTGGTTGCAGAGTTACTTTTTCATCACTGTCGTAACTGTGAATGGTCACTAAATGAGGCAGTTGCTAAATGAGGACTATCTGTAGTGCTCTTCTAATGTTGAACAACATTTTCTCTTGGCTGAATTCTCAGGGAATTAATTATTTTTGAGTTCAGGTCATTGGATGAAATTGTTCTCCTTAACTTGGCGTAACTGAATTTGTTAAAAACTGTCAGTTGGGTTGGATTTTATTTATTGCAAAATAGAAATAGGATGTATGATTTTCAAAACAATTATCTGCAATTGGTCTGTTTCTGCAGAGACAAATCCTTGAAAATCTTTCATCAGCACTGGCAGCTCTTCCTCTTAATGGTCAGTAAATAGGAGTGTGGGCATACTGGACCTGTATAAAAGGATTGCATTTAAGATAATTCTTTCATTTGCTTGTGAATTTGATAGCTACCTGGGTAAGCCTCTCCTCGCCCAAATCTGCTGTTCTTTTTACAGTTCATGGGGGAAATTAAAAACTTAGCTAGATACTATCTCATTCATGGACTGCCATTTCTTAGTGCACCCGTGCTCATGAAGTACATCTGGGTCAGCTGTCCCCAGCTGGATGTTTCCAGATGTGCTGGTATTACAGTGCACAGAATTCTTGGCCAGCTTCAGTCTTTGGTCTTACCAGACCTGGGTAAATATGTTATATGAACATATCCCAAAGTAGCTTCAAAGTCTTTCAGTGAGCTTTAGTAGAGATTGGAACGTGCCTCTCCATAAATCTTAGTCTAATACTTTAACTTTTACAATACACTGATATATTAATAATTATGCAGAGGTAAAGAGACATAAAATAACCCTCCAACAACTCCTCTGTGGGCTTAGCTGATGGCAACATCTGCCCAACCTCGTTTTGCCTCTGAAGCTGAGCAGTGTCAGTACTTGGATGGGAGACCACTAGGAAACCCCATGGCTATAGACTACTATAGATGGAGAAATGTTTAAAAATCCTGGAAGGAAGTCTTCCTTGCTGCTAAGAGCTTCCTTGCTGCTTCCCACTAATTAATATCTAAATGTTCAGGGCATGAGCAAAGTCTCCCATCTTAATTTTGGTCAGTCAGCAGCTTCAGAAAAAAATAATAATAATCACTTTTATTTCAGAAGATGGAGCCAGTTGCGAACCCCTGGGGCTTCCTTTCCTCTCCTGGAACCTCGAATGAATTTGAAAGATTAATTTCACCTACCTCAAATTTACATTGATCCTGTCCTCCGTTTGCCCTGATGTGGCTTGGTTGCCATGGCAATGAGCGTGGAGATGGCCTGGGCATGGGCGACTGACTGCAGTGCCCAGGATGGGAGGCCAGAGAGTGACCCACGCCCCTGTTTTTTCTTGAACGGTCAAAGCACCCTGGTTGTTAGAATACCAGCAGGCTCAAAAGACGATAGAAAAGAACTCAACTGATCTATCAGCCTTTCTGTTCTGTGTCCGGCTCTGCCCCCAGTCATGTTAGTGGGTGGGGGTTGATGCCATGAAAAAGCAATCTTAAAGTACTGGTTAGGAGCATGCAAATTTTCCAAGTTTTGAAATAGGCTGAGCTTGTTCTGGCCATTTCAAGTATTTCAACCTTGGACCAAATTGTTTGGGATTCAGGGATTTTGCCTGAGTTTGGACAAAACAGGGCATGTGGTTTCTGGCAACAAGAATTCCATGCTAGCCCTTGCTTTTCATCCTAGATCACAGAAGGAGACCATGCAGAATGCTACCGACGGCCCAACCTGCAGAAAAATTGTCCTATCCATTGTTTAATGTTTAAATTGCTATGTGGAACAAGGAAAAGCATGTTAAAAGGCATGCTTTGGTTGGCTGTGTTTACAACTCAACAGTGACAGAGTTATCTCATTTCCTGGGTTGGTATAATACTTTAAACCAGAAACCAATCAAACAAGCTGGATTCACAGAACACAAAAAAGCCCTGACAAGTTTAAAACTAATTAGGCGTACCATGTCGTGCAAATGACTACCCTAGTTAAGCGTGTAACCATCTAGTTAGGCATGTTAGGGAAGCACAACCACTCTTTACTATGAGAATTTTAAGAGTGCTTTAAAAAAAAAAATCACCTGCTTGGTCAGTTTTTTCAAAAGATTGCTTGGCAGATAGCACTTAGGATGGACTGCCACCCCACTTATTTTTTGTGGCCCTGGGATAAAAAACAGGGCATCCAGGATTTGTTTCAAATTCTGATTGCGTCCTATGACTGAATGCTCAAAATGCTTTCACTTTTGTCCTGTTGAAACTCACCCCACCCTAATGTTGGTCTGAAAAAGCTGCTTTGTTGTCAACCCAGACTGTTTGTGGTACCGCTTCTGTGTCTGAAGAGGGACATGGTTGCTGGGTGGTTGCGTCTATGTCTTGCTCATCTTTTGGCCATGATCGTATAAATATGTTGCAAGTGCACCCGGGAAGCTAGTATTTAACATCTCCTACGAAGGCTGTCATCTGTTGCATGCTTTCTGTGGGACTCAGCCTCTCTCAGCTGAACGGGGCCTGAGTTGAAGTCAGCTTGTAACAAGAAGGAGCTGTAAATAATGTCTTCACCTCCTGCTTCTGTTTGGCTGCAGAAAGAAAATCTCCAAATCAGACCTTCTGCCAATAGGCCTGCAGAGAGCCAGTGGACCACCACATGTGCTAACTTGCTTTCTGCCAAGCTCACTTAGGCCTCGGTGGGAGTGTGCGCCGCCACAGTACATGTGCAAAGCATGTGCTGAGGCTGCAAACCAGCCCCTAAAAAGGTGGTTGTGTTTCTTTTTTATATTCCTGCAGACAGCTGGAAACCAGATACCCAAATAGCTTTCCCGGGGTCTCCTCTGCGTCTCCCTCCGCTGCATGATCCCCGCTGCTGCATGTTCGCATGTCCACCAGATCCCACCCCACTGCCCTTAACACCTGTGTGTCTTTTCCCTCTCGTAGGTGCAAACAGGTGCTCTCTCTCTGCTGTAAATCTCCCCAAACATGTGGACTCTATAATCAACAAACGCCTCTCCAAATCTTCTGCCACCCTCTGGAACTCACCCAGTAGAAGTAAGAGACCCCTGGGGACGAGCAGCTGTGCCACGGCAAGGGATGGGTAGAGGGGGGGGTCCCCCTTTTAAGCCCTTCCTCTCCATAGGTGCTGGGCTAGGTGACAGGTGTAAAGTGAAAAGACACTTTTAAAGTATAAATAAATAAAATTTGGGGCTCCTGGTATGTTGTAGACAAACATATAAGTGCAGGATGTGAGGTTCAGCCTAAATTCAACCATGGGAGGATCTTTTTAAAAGTTTCAAGATCCTAGCTCTTATGACTGCCAAGAGAAGCATGAACCTATCCAATACAGCAGTGTTTCTCAACCTTGGCAACTTTAAGATGGGTGGACTTCAACTCCCAGAATTCCCCAGCCAGCTATGCTG